AAGATAAAAGGTGGAACATGTGTGGCAGCATGAAAGGTACACTATGAAAGTAATACTAAATTTGTTTATCATATCATACCATTGACGCAATGAATTATCATCATTTATGCATTTTATTAATAGTTGGATGACATGTAAGATGTCACATTAAGTAATAAGTAAATTCTATACAAAAATTTAATTGTTCTAATACTATTTAGTTGTATGATTTTCCTAACTGTTATGCAACAAGTAAGATAATACTGATTAAGTTAGAAGCATTTGAAATGTGACAAATTTATTTGTTGTAAGAGCATCTCCAATGCTTCATCAAAGTTTCATCAAATTTAAGTAAAAATTTGATGAAAAAATTGATATGATATGATGCACTCCATGTTAACATAAATTTCAGAACATAAACCTTACACTTTGGATCATTTACCATGTGTATTATCAAGAAGTCAAGACAAAATGACATACCTGAATCCATTGATGAACGGTTAAACGGAAGCGTGATTATCAATGAACTCTTTGTTATTGATTATGTTATTGCCTTCTAATCCTTTCCCCTTTGGTGCCTTATGTTTCTGCTTGAGATGATTTAGAAAGAAAAATGGCAGTGTTCTTATTTTTTCCACTTGGGAAGGAATAGGGACCATAACCTTTTAAAGGTTATAATTGGTTTTCAAAACTGAAAGGTTGTGGAAGTTCAAAAGGAATGAAAACCAACTTTAACCAATATGTTTTAATTTCTATTTCTGCCCCTCATAGAAATAGAAATTATACAACTAGTATCTACACATTAGGTCCATAACACATATACCCTTAAGCCTATTAACTAAATTGAATCACTTAAATTGTAGGCTTCTTATAAATGATAACACCACATTTAATTATGTGGTCCCATTGAGACATTATCTAACACTCCAATGATAAATTTAAAATTTTTATCAAATTTTGTTACAAGCCCGGTTGTTTGGGCGGATCTCTAGCGATGAGTGAAAATTAACGTTCAGAATGATAAAAAAAGAAGAAATTGTAAAAATAGTGATATTGTGAAAATAAAAAACAAAGCATTGTTATTTTATAGGTAGTGCAACAAGGATAATCTGCAAAATCTGAAGCCCAACAATTACTTACAAAATTTGATGAAATGATGAAATTCTCTTGATTTGATAAAAAAAATTAACTCTCTTCATTTAATATCGATTTGATGAAATGATTAAAACTGAGTTTTAATGTATTTTTTATCAAATTTAAATTTGATAAAACATTTGATGAAAGGCTAGAAATGACATACCCTAAATATAAATTTGATTCCTTTTAATCATAGGTTAGTCGGAATAAAATTAACTAAAATGAGTTATGGGTTGATTTTCTTTTTCCTCTATAAATGTTGCATGTGTATGCATGCATGCTTTCTTATCACTGTGTAATAATTGGAAAACGTAATAAAATTGAAAACATTTAAAACGTGACAAATTTGTCTTTTTTTTAACAAATGAAGTGTTAAATTTGAAAAGATGTATTTGATTCTTTTTAATCATACGCGGTTGTGTCAGACTATTTTTTTTCATTCTTAAATTCAAGTCTTGCCAACATAACTCTTCCTCCAAAACTATAACTTTCACTTTATAAAAAATAAAAAAATAAAATGATATCAATTGATCCAAAAAAAAAAAAAAATGTAAAAAAGATTGAGAGATCAACAGCACCGCCCAGTTTAAACAGACCAGTTATACTTTGACTTGTATCATGATATTAATTTACAATTGTTGAATTATCCAATGCGATTACAAAAGCAAAGCATTTAAATTATATTATTTGAAAGAATCCATCATGACCTCAGGCTTAGAGGGCCAGTGCTCCCTTCCAAATTTTTAAAAATTATATTTCAACCTAGAATTTTTAATGTCTTTTAATTTGCCCTCCTCTAAAATTTTATAAATGCCCTTTCTATTAAATGTCTGACATGAGTGTAAAATTTATATGAGATATTTGGTGTGAGGATATATTTTCTGAGTCCCAGCACGTGGCCAAGGTGACGCCGATGTGTCAACCGATGTGCCACGTGTCGAGGATATGACGTCGAGATGATCTCGGTGAAGCCGAGGTAATCTCCGAATATATCGGATTCCAAGATAAGCAGATAAGGGACAAGAGTCCTAGAATAAAGAAGAGACTTAGCTAAGATAAGGATAAAACTCTTAGGGAGTTTATCTTTATCTCTTAAGGAGTCCAAAGTAAGTACTGAACAGGAATCCATAGAAGTTAGGTTTCTATTGGGATTAGGATTGAGGTAACTATAAAAGAGAGGCACCCCATGGGTCTAAGGTACACAATTTATATTCTGTCTAGTGAGTTAAGCACTATTGATTATCTTTGAAAGATATACTGACTTGATCGTCGGAGTGCCCCGGGTGGACGAACCACCGCCGGAATCTTCTCTTTTCTGTTACAGGTTAGCCAGGTGTCATCTATTCTGCCAGTGTTCTCCAACTGAATACTGAGTTGGGCAGTGTGATTGGAAAATCACTCACACATTTAGTAAAAATATTGATAAAATATTTGAGATCCCTAACATTAATCTCGATGGTACTACACGAGATTAATATAAAAATATTGGTAAAATATTGGAATATCAATTAGTATACTAACATATATTATGACATTATTATTTCAAAATTATGACCCAACCTATTATACAAATTACAAATATCCAAAACTTATAAAATTATACCACATCATCCGTTAATACACTAATTAATATACCAATTAATACATATAATATTATTCTTATATATTTTACTCACAATTTTTTTTTTCATTTCTCTCTAATCTCTCTCTTTTCTCTTTTATATATATATATATATATATATATATATATTTATTCTTTTTTTGAACGGATATATATTATTATTTATTTGTTCATACAGACCTTGTTTAATTTTATATTTTTCCTTTTTTTATAAATGGAATTCTTGGCTTTGCCAATGGTTAAAATAATTGCATATAACCACCAAATTATTGAATTATTGCAAAACTTGAGAATTATTCCTAATGTCTCTTTATGAATAACATTAAATTGTACTATAAAACTTTTTGAGAATGAAATTAGGGGTTGTGGCTAGTGTTTGACGATTTGGTATCTGAAAGGGAGATTTGCACCGGACAAGTACGGTCGAGCTACAATAATGCGGGTTATGACAGACCTTGCGAGAGTCGTTTGCTCGGTGCAAAGCGGTTCCCCGTCCCATCACGCTGGGCTGAGCTACATTTGTCGATCGGAGCGTGGAATCATGCATAAGCCAAATCGAGCTGTGATTCAGCTAGGCGTTCGGTCGGATCCACAATGGTGCGTCTAGACCAAGCAAAGCATGGCTCGGAATGAATTTAGACCGGGGCGAAGGCTGGCGCGCCTCACGGCCAGTCAGTCTGAAAGGGTCGACTTCTTATAGCTCGGCCGTATCGATTATGGCTGTGTTTCCTCCCAAGGGATAGGTTGGCCGTGACAGCCTAGTAGAATGTGCCGCCTGGACCAATGGTGTGACGGAGGGGAAATCCGCTCCTGGCACGGGCCAATAACGTTTGGCAATTCCATACATACTATTTGGAGGTTTTGGCCTTTACACGCATAAGGTAGTGGGGAGCGAGCACTGCCACCTGTCCAGGGAAGGACAGCAGAGGTAGTACGCACACAACCCCTGAGGCTGCATGGCCAGCCTAGAAAAAGGAGAAGTGGGGAACGTTGGAGGTAAGCAATTCATGCAATCTGAACAATTCTCTCTCTCTCTAGAAAGTGCTCTCTTCTTCTTCAAGTGGTCTGACTTGATCGTCGGAGGGTCTATCCAGCAGCACACCGCCGGGCAACTCATCATTTCTTTGTTTTCAGGTCAGGCGTCGTTACATGAAGCTTGAGTAAAAGAAGTACGGAAAGCTAAGGCTATTTCGTCCCCGTACAATTGACGCCGTCTGCAGGAAGAACTTTTGATACACAAACCTTGCTCTTCAAGCTTTTTTGACCGTTTCCACGGCTAACAACGATGAAACTCCACTATCCGTCGTCGATGGTGTCATGCCAGAATCTGTTCGACGGAGAGAAGGCCCCCCTGCTACTCCAGCTATGGCGGGCCTAGAAACCTCTTCGAGAGGTGCGCAAGACAAATGCACAAGGAGTACTGATTGCTCGAGGAGTCCAGAGGGCCATCGACGGCGGGGGGAGTCGCATGCACAGCGGCTGGAGCACAAACTCAAAGACCATGACGCCCTCATTTGCAAGATGGCGGTTGAAATGGAGGTGTTGAAAAGCCAGGTCAAGAGGAAGGGTGTTGTTGGAGGGGGCAGCCTCCGTGAGCGCACCTCGTCTCCTCGTCTGGCAGTCGCCGCCAAGAAAAGATGCACTCTCTCTATCACCAGAAGCTATGGGGTCGGGGACTCCGACCCACAGGTGGGCAAATCTCACACTCGCGACAGCACCTACCATCCCTCACGCCCATCGTCGACATCGCGAATCTCTTTTTTTTGCCGGTTCGGAAGACTTGAGGGATGTGTTGGAGGAGAGGGCTCGCCGTAAGGAGATTCCGAGATTGCCGACATTGCAGAGGCTAAGTTCCCAAATCCGTTGTAGTGAGGAAGTGACAATGCCAGCACCCAGAGTGGTGACCCCAGCGCTCGTGGACAAAGAGCTAGTGAGACTTATAACTACGCCGCTGTCTCCAGAAATCGAGAGTACACCACTCCCTGCCAGATTCCACCAGCCTAAGTTCACGTTGTACGATGGCAAGACAGATCTGTACATACACGTAAGTCATTACCGGCAAGTAATGGCAGGACACCGGCGTAATGACGCCTTGATGTGCCTCATATTCCCAGCAAGCTTAGGAGAACTGGGCCTGAAATGGTTCGAAATGCTTCCAGAGGGGAGTATCGAGGGATAGCAACAACTAGCGGAGGCCTTTGTCACCAGATTCAAAACCAACACTCGAACACCAAAGGAGGTCGATCATCTCTTAGGCGTCAAAATGGAGTCTGGAGGTTCGCTGAAGGCATACAATTCGAAGTACTGGGAAACTTACAATGAGATCCTCGACTGCCCTACCAATCTGGCGATTACTCAATACAAGCATGGTCTCCCAGTTGGACATAGGCTACGAGACTCGCTTACAATGCACCAACCCGCAACCATGGAATCCTTAATACAACGGATCAACGAACATATCCATGTGGAGGATGATGCCGCTACCGAGAAGGCTAATCCGGTCGTGGCGGACAGAAAAATGGCGGGGAAGGTTCACTCGGTGGGGCAGGAGGACAACCGGCCAAACGACCGATCAAAAGATCAACGTCGTGGCTCAAACCGCGATGATAGAAACAAAGGTCGTAGAAATGACCAAGCTAACACTCCCTATGACGAAGATGAAGATGCCAAGAGAAAATTGAAAGCGCGGACTGGTATCACCACGGTCTTTAAAATCCCTATTTTCCGCATCTTGAGTGAAATCCGAGGTGAACCTTTCGTTCGTTGGGCGGCCAAGTTGGGGAGTACACAGAGAGGCTTCAACTCAAGATATCGCTGCACCTTCCATGAGAAACGGGGGCACTGAACGGAGGATTGCTGTCACGCCCTAAAATTCGGACAATTAAATATTAAATTAGGACAAAATCCCAATAATATTCCATCATCCAAATCTTAGAGGTGAAACAAAAACTAAACGCCAACCAAAACATCTATCATGATTTTATAACTATCAAATACCTTCAACATTAAAGTAGCAACAACTAGCCAAAACAACTTAAATAAAGTATGGTTACAAACCATGCCAAATTATTCCAATACTAAAGTCATTAAAATAAAATAATAAATACATAAATTAGTATCAACCCTAAACTCAAGAAAAATAAAAGAACTCTAAATGACATGTCCTACGATCACAGTTATTTTTTGTCACCACCAAAGCCTCTACTAATCCTGCAAACGAAGCTCAGCTGCACTCAAACAGAACGCACCTAAATTGCCAAGAGACAAAACGGGTCAGTATACAAGTATACTGGTATGAGTACAAGAATTGTCACCCACGTGTCCACCAGACACAAACAAAAAGTACATTATTTCTTATTACGGAACAAGACAAGTAGTTCCAACCGTACCGAGACGAATGGGTAGTTTCTCGAGATACGGTGGCATTTAGTTTCATGTCCGTACACAATGAAATATAAATTCATTATAAAATAGAAAAAATAGAAAAAAAATATGGTGGGTTAGCCCTGCATAAAAAGTTAGTAAGACCCACCATCCTACAAAAAAAAAAAAAAGTTAGTATAATTTAATCATAAGTAACTCGCTGAATAAGTATAAAAATGCACCGTTTCCTGCTTAAGTAATTTGAATTGACCAAAACTCAAAGAATGAAAGTTGTACAAAATCAAATTTTCTAAAAGACAATGCGAACGAATTTAACAGAAACTGAATAGGTTAAGAGAAAAATTTGATTTAAAAATCTAGACGGAATTCAATCGAAAAATCTGAAGCTGAAAACGAACAAAAACTTCCCTAAGATGATTTTTTTCGAAAAAGTTCAAAACATGAAAAGTGTGCAGAATAATGTTTTACTTTAGTTTACGCGAAACCAATAAAAATGAGCTCGTTTCGTAAGTTAAAACAACCTATAAAATCTGCATTACCAAAATGAATCAAACCGACAATAACTAAAGTCATCCGATTATAAGTTCTAATCGATCTTTTTAATAAAAAGATAAAACACAAAAGTTGTCTAGAATCACGTATACATGTTTCTGCTCAAATTTCATAATTTATCAAGATCGTTTACTATATTTTTGTATCATGTACATATCAGTACCATACACACTTTACTAATAAATTCATAATTAAATTTTGCGTTCCTTAACTCCACCACTTTGGCCTTCCCCTTCCGACCTACACATATATCCCATGTGCCTCCCGTATACCTAACACCGCTCCGAAACCAAGCTTGCACGGGGATATCGTCCCGAGTTTGACTCACACTCCCCGGATGGTTAGCATATACGTACGCGCGCAAATCAAAACACTCGTCTACTCATGAGAACGAGGCAACAATATATATATACACAACATCTCACACATGAGAATAAACATAACAATGCCGAGCCTAAAGCATTCAAATAAATCTCATAATCCTCACTTTTTTCTTTTATACACTCTTTCTCACCATCACTCAAATAAAATAACAATCCATGGAGTCATGGTGGAGTATAAGGAATTTATCTATAGGTTCTTAATTAATTTTAATTTCATATGACCATGAGTGTAATTACAACCATAAAATAAATCCATATAAAAATTCTAAATATGGTATACACAACTAATCAAAATAATTAAAATCAATCCATCATCTACATGCAAATGCAAAACCAATCCAACATCAAATAAAAATAAATAAATAAAAACAACGAATCAATCCATCCTCTAACCAATATCTATGGATTCTAAGTTTATTTTAATTTTATATAATCATGAGTGTAATTACAATCATAAAATCAATCCATATAAAAACTCTAAACCTTGCATATACCACTAATCAAAATAATTAAAATCAATTAATCATCTATAAACCCTAAACCTTACATACACAACTAAACAAAATAATTAAAATTAATCAACCATCTAAAAAACCTAAACTTTACCTACACAACTAATCAAAGTAATTAAATCAATCAATTATCTAAGAACCCTAAACTTTACATACACCACTAGTCAAAATAATTAAAATCAATCTATCATCTTTATGTGAATATAAAATCAAACTAATATCAAATAAATAAGTAAAAATAAAGAATTAAATATAAATCAAAGGAAGCGAATTTTGTACTCACAATATTATTTTAAAGATCGAAGAATTATTTAAGAAACTAATGGAACCACCAAAATAAAACCCTAATCTTTTTCTTTATTTTTATTTTTATTTTTCTTTTTCTTTTTCTTTTTCCACGCCACACACTCACACAGAGAGCACTCTCTTTTTTTTATTCTTGGATGATCAATCTCTCTCTCTCTCTCTCTCTCTGTTGGCCTTGCTGCCGATAACCTAATAATTATTATATTATAATATAACCTAATCTCATTCTAACCCTAATAAATTATTATAATATACTATATTATATAATACACATAATTATAATATATATAAATATAAATTAAATATATATATATATATATAAAACACCTCTCTTTTTTATAACAAAAATAAATATATAAATATATGAATTAATTGAATAACACAATAAATTTATTAATTACAACATTAAATTCGTTAAATATCACATTAACTAAACAACACATTAAATTCTCATGTAAACCACACAATTAATAAAGCCAAATATAAAATAAGATAATAAAAATAATAAGTAATAACTTAAGAAAATTAGGGCCGCTACAATTACTTGCCGCTCAAACAGCATCTGGAGGAGTTGGTAGCGGTAGGACATCTCGACCAATACATAGATGGGGGTATGAAAGCCACTCCACTGGGACAAATCGAGCCAAACGGCCTAGCCACCCTAGATGCAGCGCTGCAAGGCGTAATCAATGTCATCCATGGCATCATTAAACCGACACGGGTCTGCGAGCTGAGAGGAATGATCAAGAAAGCCGAGAACATGAGGGGGGTACTCTCCGTTCAGCCCGCTGTGAAGAAAGGAAAGACCGAAGAAAAAAATATCCTTACCTTTTCAAGTAAGGACTTGGAGAGAATTCAAGTGCCCCACAATGACGCCCTAGTAGTGACTCTTCGCGTCAAAGACTTCGACATCAAAAGAATTTTGGTTGACCAGGGGAGTTCAGTCGAAATCATGTATTATGACGCGTTCAAGCAAATGCAGTTGAAGGAGAAAGACTTAGCCCCTGCAACGTCTCCTTTGGTAGGCTTCAACTCTTAACCAGAATGGCCGATTGGAAAGATCATATTGCCGGTCAAAGCGGGTTCGGTCACAAAGCAAGTAGAATTCTGGGTACTTAAGGTCCCATCCACCTACAACTTAATATTGGGCAGGGGCTGGTTGCACGCCATGCAAGCTGTAGCATCGACCAACCATCAGGTTTTGCGTTTCCCGACACCGACCGGACAGGTTGAAGAGGTTTGGGAAGACCAGGTAATGGCAAAACAGTGCTTCGTTGCGGTGAATGGCAGCCAAGCCGCCAAAAGGTTCGTTCAAATGATAGAGGGCCCGGAGGGAAATGAAGTCTTGAAAGACGTAGGAAGAAAGGCCGAGAAGAAATTGGTTGAAGATTTGGTGGAGGTACGCATTGACGAGAACGATCCAACTAAGTTCTTTCTTTTGGGATCATCCTTGTCCAGCACCGAGCGACTCGAATATGTCGACTTCTTGGTTTCCAACATAGAAGATTTTGCATGGATACCATACGACATGCCTGGCGTCGACCCTAGCTTCATTTGCCATCAGTTGAATGTCTTCCTGAATGCGCGGCCGGTCATCCAGAGGAATGCTCGGCCCTGCACCATGCCGAGATAGTGGCGGAGGAAGTCAAGAACTTGTTGGAAGTAGGGGCAATAGAAGAAGTGCAATATCCTCAGTAGATCTCTAACACGGTCGTGGTGCCGAAGAAAAATGGTAAATGGCGGGTGTGCGTTGATTATAAGACCGTTAATCGCGCGTGTTCAAATGATAGCTTTCCCCTCCCAAGAATCGACCAACTGGTAGATTTAACCGCTGGTCATCAAAGGTTTAGCTTCCTCATATCGTGGCTACCACCAGATTGCCATGTATGAACCGGACCGAGAGATCACTTCATTCACCACTCCAAGAGGCCTGTATTGTTACAAAGTCATGCCGTTCGGACTGAAAAATGCCGGGACAACTTTACAAAGGATGGTAACCAAGATGTTCGCCCATTTCTGGGCCGCACCATGGAGGCTTACATCAATGATATGGTGGTAAAGATCAAGGAAAAGTCTCAACACCTCGCCGACCTAGCAGAGATGTTCGCTACACTTAAACAGCACAAGCTGCGTTTGAATGCCTCCAAGTGCACCTTCGGAGTTGGCACCAAGAAGTTTCTGGGTTTTTTGGTCACAAACCGAGGAATTGAAGCCGACCCTTCTCAAATCAAGGCGATACAAGAGCTGGAGCGCCCAAACTCCACAAAGGACGTGCAACATCTTGCCGGGATGGCAGCCGCGCTAAACAGATTTATAAGCCAGTCTTCAGATCGTTGCCGGTCCTTCTTCAAAACATTGAAGGCCAAGTTCTTCTGGGATGACAAATGTGACCGTGGCTTGGCGGATCTAAAAGTATACCTTTCCTCAACCCCTATCTTTGCCACACCAAAACCGGGCGAGGAACTGTATCTCTACTTGGCAGTCTCTCAACATACGGTGAGTGCCGTCCTAGTCCATGCTGAAGGAACCCAGCACCTTCCCATCTTCTACGTAAGCAAGACCTTGCTCCCGGCTGAATCAAGATATCTGCCTTTGGAAAAATTGGCCCTGGCCTTGATGATGGCTTCCAGAAAACTGGCACACTATTTTCATGCCCACACAATAGTTGTGCTAACTGAGTTTCCACTTAAGGTGCTCTTTGAAAAGGC